TATTATGTAATTTTTGCACTGTATAATGTGTCAAGTTAATACTAAGGCTTTGCTTCAGCGCTGTTTTCAGACTTCCGGTTGTTTCCACATTTCTGCAATCCAAATCTTATTCCGTCGTTTTACTGGCTGTCCCATCCTGTTGACTGTCTTGATGCTGTGTCATGATCAGTGTTCCCTCTAAGCTGAGCTAGTGTGAGCTAGCTCATGGTTTTTTTAGCCTCCAGCTCACATATTTTTGTCTTAGCTCAAGAAAGATGGCTCCAGGGAAACGAAGTGATGCAGTGGCCAAATCCCTCGCTCACAACTTTAATGCCAGTAGCTCACAAAGCAGAATTTTTGCTCACAAGACTCCAGAGCTTCGAGGGAGCATTGGTCATGATCTGTCTTGGGTCTCGAGGAAAAAAAAAGCAAAAACAAAAGTGTGGGGGGGGGGGGAGGGAAATACAGACAGGATTGCAGCAAAATCTAGCAAGAGTCCAGCAGATCCTTTAAGATTCTCGTCTTCCAGCATCATCCGGCAAACTGGCCTCCTCAAAGGCGCTCGGGTTGTGCACAGTTTTTCTCCCCCCTCCCTCCATCTGCTCCGTTCTCCTTTGAGGAAAAGCGATTATACAGAAGTCAGCAATCGGTTTCAGCCTGGTAGAAATCTTTGCCCAGGGGCAGCAGAGACGTAGGGAGGGGTCTCCTTCCTACAGGAGCACCCCCAGTGGGACACCTGCGCAGGACTCCGGTATGGGGCAGGGAACGGGGGGGCCCCGCTCTGTCCCCCCCCCCCCAGCTTTGCATTTCCTGGCTGGGCACCCCCCCCCCCCTTTCCCCCCTCCCTTCCTCGCTCCCTCCCCTTCCAATTTGCACCCTCCCTTCGCTCAAAGGCAAGCGGGACTCACCAGCTGCCCGAAGGGGCCGGATCCTCCCCGTGCAAAAGGGACCTACAAAGGCTTCTTTCCCGCAGAGGGAGGCGGGGCAGGAAGCGGGTCGTCGTCCCCCCTTCACCCCCTCAGTTCACAAACCCTCTCTCCTATCGGTCTGTCTAGGAAAGCGGACTCGCGGACTCCTTTTTTAACCCTTCAGGGTGAATCGGAGCGGAAAGGACCACTGCGGGCACGGTTAGAACGCTTACACCGCAAGACTCACTCCGGATTCGGTGATCGGAAGCGGATTTCCACGTGCAGAGGCCCTGTCCCCTTGCACGAAGCGCCAGTGCCGTTTAGTAGATGCAGGGTTGCCAGGCTCCAGGCGGGGCCTGGAGATCTCCCGGAATGTCAGCTGACCCCCCAGGCGACACAGATCGGTTCCCTTGGAGAAAACCGCTGCTTCCGAGGGCGGATTCTATGGCCTTACGCCCTGCTGAGGCCCCTCCCGCTACCCTCTCCAGGCTCCACCCCCACCTCTCCAGAGATTTCCCAACCTGGACCTGTGGCAACCCCTGCACCAGAGGCAGAATCAGGGCAATACTGATTTCCCCCAGTTTGAAGCTGCTGTAATGCAATTGACCTGTTGGGTTCCTGCCTGGAATAAATGAGTTAAACCTTAATGCAAGGGTGTCGAACTCATTTAGATCTGACATAAATGAGACCTTGTTGGGCCAGGTCACGTGTGTCATAAAATGTAATGCCAGGTAGCAGAGATATAAACTTTATAAAGGACACAAACACAAAGGTGGGTTTTTTGCTTAAAATAAAAACATGCTTAAAACATTAGAGCTCTTGCAATATTTTGTTTATGTAACAGTGTCTGATAACTGACACCTCTTGCTCTGAATTATTGCATCAAAATGTCCATGTTGTTGCAATCTTGAGTGTGCTGTTCAGGTGCGCATCTGTAAGTTGCAAACCTATGATGATGCAGCAGCAGCAAAACTGGAAGAAGAAGCAGAAGACAGCCAGTTCCACTGTGGGCCTGATAGAAGCCCTCTGGGGGCCTGATCCGGCCCCCGGGCTGCATGTTTGACACCCCTGCCTTAATGTATTCTGCCAGAAGCTGTACATGTATCCAATATGTATATTACATTAAACAATTCTAATTTCCCAGATTTTCACCATATATTTGGGGATTATGAGGTATCTTTACAATCCAGTATTCTGATTCTGTGTTTTTACCCTCTATTAAATTATACCCAATCTTCTTGGAAATGAATTCTCACTAACAATAAATTCAGAGAAGTAATACATCAACATGCCTTCAGCTGTATAGCGATTAGAATCCATTCATAAAGAATCCATCATCCCCTGTGGGTTTCTAATAAGAGGTAAAAGCTATTTCATTATTGTGTTTGCAAATTACTGTATCTAAAAATTAATGGATATAACTATCATAATGTGCAACAAAATTAATATGCTCATCTAGAGAACTGAACCATTCTATTCATTCATGTGTTTTAATAACACTGCGCAAAACTAAGAAAACGTCATCAATTTAACATGTGTAATATAGGATGTTGTGGAATAGAGGATTTTTTTCTGTGATCATAAATGTTAGAGTCTTCCAGTGCCACCATGTACAGATTGGAACCGGGGGCTGCTGGACTCCCCATTGGTACACCTTTAACCTGCATGTAAAACTGTTCTTGGTACCTGAAAAATTATTTTCTAAGATTATGTCCAAGATGTCCATTAGAAAACGCGCAGGGGGACTCTGATCTGTTCTTGATTCTAAAACTGTTTGCAGGACCAATTGCACTTCTTGGTGAGGTATGCTTGTGTAAAGTGATGTCACGTCTAATGTGATGAGGATGGCTTCGGATGGTATTACAAAGCGTTCTGATTTTTTAATCAGCTCTTTAAGGTAAAGGTTTCCCTTGCCAACCTAGCAGTTCGAAAGCAAGAAATTGCAAGTAGATAAATAGGTACCACTTCGGTGGGAAGGTCACAGCGTTCCGTGTGCCTTGGTGTTTAGTCATGCCGGCCACATGGCCACGGAAACGTCTTCAGACAGCTTTGAAACGGAGATGAGCACCGCAACCCTCAAGTCGGAGTCGACTGGCTTTCGAGCAAGGGAACCTTTACCTTTTACATCTAAAAAACACTTTTGTGGGGTGTACCAGGAAAAGGGTTGTGGGATGTTGGGGACCCCTGCCTTACAACAAAAAACAAACTTTTAAGTATTGAAGACTGAACGGGGAGGGGGGGAAATACTGATAGTTCATCAGCAGACAGCTTTGGGGCTTGGACCCTGAGGCTCAACTGTTGTATTGGACCAAACAGCAATGGATAATGGACAGCATCAGCTACCATATGTATGACCCTGAATGTAAGACGACCCCCTTAGAAATGCTGTACACAAGTCTTTATTATCAGACAGAATTGTAACTCGTAAGCAAACGTAATACACTTCTTCCTCCCCCACCCCACGCTTTGATAACATACCTGGGATGGGGGAAACTTAGTCACGCATCGGAGTCAATACTGTAACGCTTTCCTTTCTCCTCCAGAAGAATTCGGCAACACAGGAGAATGAACCGATACATCAAAGGGATGGGGAAATAATTGGAAGGGGGGGATGAGTGAAAAGAGAAATATTCAGAGGAGTTAATATTGAGATGGCTGTAGAGGCTGAGAAGTGACAGAACGGATGGGGGTCCTGCTTCAGAGGAAAACCAGTTGGGAGGGAACCACAGGAGCCGGAAGCAACATTCCCCGTCTATGATTATCCATTGGGTCAAAGGTCTGCTTGGGTCAAAGGGCTGACCCTTACCTGGAGCACTCTGGGAAGGAGGCACCCGGCAGGGCCTAGGGGCTCCCCTTCAGGAGTTGCCCAGATGAATGGAGCACTGCCTTATAGCCAGGGGTCATTTCCTGCAGGAGCGCACAGCAGCAGAGCTCTGGCAGTAAAAAGCCCAGGGGGTGGGCACATGCAACAAGCCCAACCCCCTGCTCCCAGCAGCCCTCAGTCAGAGCAAGAAGCAGCCAGGTA